AAATTTAGGAAGTTAATTTTATAAGATAATAAAAACTCTTTGCTAAATTGTCTCGTAATAAACAAACTGCTTTGTGTCAACTTTGGTTAAGTAATATTGAATTGCTTAACGTTATTACTTTGTGTTAACCTTGGTTAAGTAATATTAAATTGCTTAACGTTAACAACTCGTTTTGTGAAAACCCTGGTTAAGTAATTGTATATTACTTAATGTTATAAATCCTGCTTTGTGTCATCTAGGTTTAAGTAATCTTTAAATTACTTAAATGCTATCAACTTGGTTACAAATAAACTTTGTAACGTCAACTGAGGAATTCCTATGACAGAGGAAATTATTTGTCTTACGTGAAGGATTGGAAGTCTTCATACTTGCCAATTCTGAAACTTAATCGTGAAAGAATACCAAAGTCAACAGAAACCTAAATTTACCAAAGTCTTTCCCAAAACTTACTAAAGATTGAGCTAAATCTTGCTGCTACTCAATTGATTATGTGTTTCAGTCCGCTTAATCATTAGTTGGGTAACAGTATAACTCATACTTGGTAATGAATGCTGTTTTCTCCTTATCTTCTTCTACAACTTTCACCTGCCAATATCCTGATGCGAGATCTATTGATGTGAACCATTTTACTCCTTGGAGGCTATCAATAATCTCATGAATAAGTGGTAGAGGATACTTATCCTTTTTCATCACGTCATTCAGCTTTCTGTAGTCTACACAGAATCTTGTTTTGCCATTTTTCTTTTAACAAGAATCACTGGTGAGGCCCACGAGCTATTAGATAGTCTAATGAATCCTTTTTCTAATCCATTATCAATCTCTTTCTTGATTATCTCATTTTCTACTGGTGATATGCAGTAGGTCCTTTGGCTTATCGGTGGTCCTACTTCTGTATAAATTTTGTGTTTGAATGCGTTTGTTCTGCCAATTTCTCCCTCTTTGGCCACTACATCTTCATATGATTGTAGCGTTTGTAACAATTGTTCTTTTTGTCTGCCTTTAATTTCTCCAATCACTGTTTTTCTTCCTTCATCTATAGAAAGCGTTTGATCACTTTCCTCAATTTGGATTTTTGTGAATCTTTCTTCCTTTCATTCTGTTGTAACAGTTATATCTTCTAAAAGTGTTTCAATGAATTCACCTTCCTGATATACTGCTAGCATTTCCTCAGGTAATTCTGGATCTTCCAGTTCCAATCCAAAATCGGACTCTTCATCAGATTCTTCTCTTGGTTTTGTCTTCCTTTTAAATCTGATCCTTTGCCAACATGTTATGGACACGTTCTCATAAATAGGTTGTCTGTTGATAGATTCTTCTACTTAATAAAATAGCCTTTTTTGGTAGAAGTCTATTTTTGCATTGACTTGCATAACCCATTCATTTCCTAGAATCACTGAGTAGGCTTCAGAGTCCATAACCGCAGCTTCAATCTTCCAGATCATTGTATTATTTTGATTAGAAGTTAATGGATGACTCCTAATAGTGTTGTGATTTTTCCGCTTATTCCAATCAGGGTTCTATCGGGCGATCCATCAATTTCCAATCCAATTTCATCTAGGAAGCTTTTCGATACAGTGTTCCTCATTGTGCCTGTATCGATCATTGCATTTGTTTTTCTTCCAGCTACTTTTGCTTCTATGAATAGTGTGTCCTTGGGTGATTGTTGTTGTGTTATTGCACTAGGTTCTCCTTCTTCTTGTAGATTATTCTGTGGAATAATTCTTGGACATTTCTTGGTCAATTCTCCAATTGGATCCAATTTATTCAAGATTTTGCACGCAAACAATACGTGTGTTGGAGTTATCTGTCCATTTTCTATCAGATTCAGGTATCTTTCTTGATCTATAGACCTCCATGGACCAGC